GTGCGCAAGAAAGCCCTATGGCTAAAATGGCCATTAAAGCTTTCTTGCTCAAGACAGCGTCCACACTGCCATGGACGCTCTTGCGCAAAAGCATATGGCTGTGTGGACGTGTTCTTATGCAAGAGTTCTTGCACAAGAACCCACCAATGTAGACAGCCTCAAGGTGGTGAATCAACAGAACAATTCTCCCAGGAGCTTAAAAAACAAAGCATGTGGACAGGAACTCATCCTGTGTTGATACAGGGCCCAGAGCAGGGATGGAGAGAGGGCAGCTTGCAATTCCCACTTCTTTGAGCTACTAAGAATTACTTTGGCCACAAAAGCTAGGGATTGCTTTACCTGAGGCTCTTGAAGAGAAAGCAAGAACAGGGGTGGTGCTTCCTGCTCTCAGGCTTCTGCTGGGGTCTCCTGTGCCAGGGCTACTGTTTGGGAAGAGGCTGGGAGGAATAAGACAGATCAGGGAGTCTTAAGACAACAGTGGATCACGCTCAGACTTTCTAGGTTCAGTGCTGTTGCAACACTCGGGGGAGCTCCAGCATGCAGAGGATGCTGTTTCAGTATGTCTGTACTGCTGTGGTGGGCAGCCTGTGGCCATCACAAGACGTTTTGTTTATCTCTGCCAATATACAGGATTCCCATATTCCATTAGTTTTAATCCACATAGTTTAATCCACATAGTATTACTAAAGCGGCATGCATGTAAAGTAAGTGTACATGAAGTAAGGTGTGTGCAGACTGTACATAAGATTGACTGTGGGAGCTGGGCACTCGGGATATGTTTAGACTGCAGGCATCTTTCAGAAGAAGCTTTTCCGTAAGAGATCTTCCAAAAAAACTTCTTTTGAAAGAGAGCGTCTACACAGAAAAAGTGCATTGAAAAAGCGATCTGCTTTTTTGAAAGATAAGAGTCCACACTGAATGGACGCTGTCTTGCATTTAAGCTGTGATTACTATGGATGGAGTGGCCACCAGGACACCTGTGCTTTTTCCTCTTTCCTCTTCTTTTGAAAGAACTCCCTCTTCTCCATCCACACATGCCTTTTTCTGAAAGAGCTCTTTCAGAAAAAGGCATGTGTGGATGGAGAAGAGGGAGTTCTTTCAAAAGAAGAGGAAAGAGGAAAAAGCACAGGTGTCCTGGTGGCCACTCCATCCATAGTAATCACAGCTTAAATGCAAGACAGCGTCCATTCAGTGTGGACTCTTATCTTTCAAAAAAGCAGATCGCTTTTTCAATGCACTTTTTCTGTGTAGACGCTCGCATGCCCTGCAAATTCTAGGTACATAAGCACAGTTAGCAAAACTACCCTGTCCTGGGAGACCATGTTCGTTACAACAATCTTGTGGCCCACTGAGATGAAGGGGGGTCATTCATGAGGCCCACTCACTAACCTAGGTTGCCCATCAATGCTGTATTGCCTACTCTCAGGCTACGTCTACACTGTTGGCTACTGTTTTGCGCAAGAACTGTTTTGCGCAAGAGATGTGCTTTTGTGCAAGAGCATTCATGGCAGTGCGGACACTCTCTTGTGCAGGAAAGCTCTGATGGCCATTTCAGCCAGAGGGGTTTCTTGCGCAAGAAACCCCTGTTGCCTGTCCACACTACCTTCTTGTACAAGAGGACTTATTCCTCATGGGGAGAGGAATAACTCTTGCACAAGCAGCCCTCTGTTCAAATGCCTTACTGTAAATTGCACAAGAACACGCGTGCAGTGTAGACGCTCTGCAAGTTTTTGCACAAGAATGGCCATTCTTGCTCAAGAAGCCTGCAGTGTAAACATAGCCTCAGAGCTCAGAATTAGTCAGGACCCCCTAACTAAAGCACCACAAGATGGGTTTTGCTTTCTTAAATACTTTTTGGCTTCTTTTTCTTTGCCTTCTGGTTTGAGTCTTTAGAGTGCACTCAGGTCATGTTTTCCAGCTTTTCTACACAACTATGAAAGCTGATTTTTTTTCTCCCTAATGAAAACGGATTCTTACAGTCACATGATTCAAACAATTGGGCCTTTAGCAGAAACACCAACTATCATGAGACTTGGAATAAAATTGCAAGAGTTGGCAACATTGCTATTCACATGCCAAAACAGTGGCTTTTGCTGGTGTTTTTGGAGGGTTGGGAATAGCTGTGAGAATATGTCTTGAACACAGTAAAGCAGAAATTGATTCAAAACATTTAGAAACTACAGAATACTGTACACCCAGTCTTGCCTGTTTTATGACAAATAACATTTAAAAGCTGAACACTTTTGCAGTTGGTCTAAGTCCTTTCCTATTGCTGTGCCAATTCCTGGCACGGGGCTTTAATACAACACCCTTACCTCGAAATAAGCTATGCAATTTGTGCTACGCAAATTGCGTAGCTTATTTCAATGTTTTTTCAAAATAGCTTATTTCAAAATTTGACGCTGTCACATAGCACCAAATTTCAAAATAAGGTGCTATACCAAAACGTCCCTTATCCCTCGTGCAATGAGGTTTACAGGGACATTGGAATAGTAAGCCTGCTATATTTCACTATAACGGGTTTGCTCTTAAGATGCGGAATAGCTATTTCAGGATACCGGAGGTAGCTCCTCTATGTAGATGTAGCCTAAGTGGGGTTATCATATTTTGACAGGTTCTGGATAAGAGTAATCTTTACCAGTTCTAAAACATTTTAGGTCTTTAGTGCCACTAGTTCAATTGACTGGTCTAAATTATGTTGGCCTCCTTAGTAGTTAGGCATCATTACTGAGCTTAGGTAAGGTTGCTGCTTTGATATGCATATGCAGAACTCTGCCCCAGTAAAACTATAATCCTATAATCTGATCTGTGCCAGTTGACCTTAATGCCTATACACAGTCCCACTTAAATCAAACCTCAGCACGGGTGCTAACTGAGTGTGTGGCTCTTGTTGCAAGATTATGTGGCCTACGTGTCATTCCAACACGGCTACATTTCTATTGTCATTGGTCAGCGTGTCAGAGTTGCCAGTTCAAAAGGATGCAAATTCTGAAAGTCCAACAAATGTGCCCACCCACTTCACAGAGCTGGCCAGTGTTTATATGAGAAAGAAGTTATATGACTCACTGTCCTGCTCTCAGCAAGACCCACTGTTGTAGCGCTCTGCCTCGGTTCATTTCCCTACTACATACCTCAGCCTTCTGCAGCTATAGAGGTGATTTATTGCAGTGATTTTGCCCTTCAGATAAATCATTAACAAAAGTCCCCCGTCTGGGTTATTCCTAGTCCAAAAACCAAAAATAAAAGTATTTGTCCCAGTCTCACACTTACCTAGGTCCTCCTTTCTAAGAGTTTAGCTTCTAATTCCAGCACTTTTCTGCCCACCTTTTGGGTTTAGCTTTGGTCTTTTCCAGGCTCCTTTCCATCTTTCCTCTCAGCCCCTCCTTTCTGGGCTCCTTTCCCAAGCAGCAACCCTAGGCTCTCCTACCTGAAACCTTCCACAGACCTCTGCCTGCTCCAGGTTTTCCTCCAACCACACAGAGCTTTCTGCTCTACCTTCCAGCCAGCTCTCTGGTACTCGCTACCTTCCTTTGAAGTCCAATTTTCAGCAAAGGTATCACAGAGAAAGACTAGTTGATCAGGGCTGACTGACTTAGATGTGCAGATCCCCCATTACACTTGGTTTACAGTAGTTACTTTTCCCTGAGGGATTGCAGGTTTCCACTACAACAAACTTACTAAGGTTCTTGAACACTGTTCCCTCTAAGCTTTTCCTTCTGCGCAGAATACATTTGTATATGCATCAAGGTATGTGCAAATGTGCACCCTCAGTTGAAATACAAAAGCTAGCTGCATTCTGCTAATCAGCTGAGCGGTATTTGAATCTTTCTTGAGTGGCTGCACAAATGCTAGCTTATAGGGGACACTGCTCTTGAGGAACATTTTCTATGTATTCTAGAGTAAATATTCCTGAAACACACACCAGAAGACTGATCCTCCTGCACGTCATCTGAAGAGGCCTTTAATGCTATTCTGATGGATAGTGGTATACCTATTGCCATGGGGAGCCAATGTAACATCTCATTGTTTCATGTCTATCAGAAATCATGCTTCCAGGTATTATTTGTATTTTCTGGCATTAAATAGTCATGACTCACTGCATACCTACATGGTTTGTTAGTCTCTAAGGTGCTGCAAGACTATTTGTTGTTTTTTAAGTTTTTCCAGTTACAGACTAACGTGGCTACCCCTCCGAAGCTTGCATACCCCTGGATATCTATAGCAATTAAGGACAGAAAGGTGTGAGATCTCACACTCCTAACTCTCTGCTACTAAAAAGCAGAATCGTGTGGTCCAACTTGTGCTCTCTCACGAGGCTATCCCCTATGAATGTCCCTCTGTTTAGAAAAATAGTCAGCTGACGAGCATTTCTGGAAAGAGAATGTGACCTTCTGTGCAGCCACAGGACTGCTCAGTTGTTTTTAAAGTTACAGACTAACATGACTTCCCGCCAGAGACCTTTTAAACATCAAAAGCTCCAGACCACCGCAAAATCTCCTAAACTGCGGGTGGGTCAGACGCTCCCAGATGAGAGGGGCAAGAGCCCTCAACGGGGCTAAAGCAGGAGCACAAAGAGCCCGGACTCTGGGGCAGAACCTGCTCGGGCAAGCCAATGAGCTTCTCCAAGGCCCCGGAGAGCGATCGATCGCTCCCTCGCTCTGTACGACCCAGACGTGAGCCGGGGAAACAGGGAACTCCGCTCACGCCTCCTTCCCATTGGTTGGTTCTCCCGGCCCCTGCTCTTCATTGGAGGAGAAGCATCTGGTTGGGCGGACACGGGTTATGGCCGACAGCCGACTGGGCCAATCAGAAACCCCGCTAATTCTAGGCCGGCGTTCGGAAATGAAACGCGGCGGAGCCAATGGGAGTGGAGCACAGCGGGGCCGGGCTGGGTTCGGCGGACTTGTGTGGGGCCGCTGCAGATGCGGCGGGGGGGGGGGGCGCGGCCGGCCC